TTTTTGCAAGCGGGTGAATATTTAGTTTTTTTCTGTTTCGGGTGCCGGTTGCTCCTGGCTTTTCATTTCACCATTCCCAGACTTAAATATTCCTCGATCTCTCTCTCTCTCTCTCGCACGCTCTCTCTCACTCTCTAGCTGAGTTCATCTCCCCCAGCGTTTTTATTTACCTTTACGAGCCTTAAATATTCCTCCGTCTCTCTCGCTTGCACTGTCCCTCTCTCTCTCACTCTCTCCCTGAGTTGATTCTCTCTTCCCTTCTCTGTCTTCTTCTCTTACTCTCTTTCCAACAGCTCATTTACACTTTATCGCTTGAATAAAGTTGCTCTCAGACTTTGCTTTTGCCTTTAAAAGCTTCAGATATTCCTCCATCTCTCTCTTACCCCCACTCTTCTTCTCTCTCTCGCTCTTTCCACCTCTCCTCTCCCTTCCTCTTTATCGCTTATATTTAAACTGCATTCCCATAAATTCGCTGTGTGAACTGAACTTTTTATAAAGTTGTTCTCAGCCTTAGCTTTTACCTTAACAAGCCTTAAATATTCCTCCATCTCTCCATCTCTGTTTAACTCATCTCTCTATCCTTTTAACTCTGCCTCCCTTGCTGAAATCTGAACTGAATTTCTATAAATTCACATTTTTTTTGATAAAGAATAGAAAAGTTTTACGAGTAGCCGCAAGTTCCCCTTTCTTTTCTGGCCATCAATCTATTTATCTCAGTGTCTCACCTCTAAAAAGGGAAACTCTCAAATTGTTGACTGTTAGACTTTCCGCTCTCGCTCCGTCTCTTACGATTTGCTTCCTTTCTCTTTTATTCGTTCCCTTTCTCTTACCTTTGCCTGATTCTCAAATGTTTCGTATATCTTTTGAAGCAACCCAAAAGTCTGGTTAAATATTATATATCACTTCTCTCTCTCACTCTGCCTTCCTCTGTCTTTCTCTGCCTCTCTCTCTCTCTCTCTCTCTCCCGCTTTTTGTACTTTTCAAAAGTCTTAAGTTGCATAAATATGCTCATCTCTGGCCCTGACGCGCTTATGCGTGAATTCTGTGATGCTTTATCATGCATACATGAACTGCCACGCCCCCAAAAAAAAAAAAAAATGAATGAGCATTCATGTGGTACGTGATTCAATGAGACTAACTGCATTGGCATCTACACAGTCTGAATCCTTTCGAGCAGCGCTGCGAATGTTCTATAGGTGTTTCGCAAGTTTCTTCAACAAAATTAATTTATAAATTTATCATAAAGTCGAGACCAAAAATCCAATGCAAGCACACACATCGTTACACACACACACACAAACGCATATGTATATATGTATGTATATCGAGAATGAATCGAAGACATCGAAGAATTTTGAGTTGGGCAAAGTCATCGACGCTGACGATGCTGGACCAGGATAATATGTGGATGAGGTTGAGGATGAAGCTGAGGATCTGGAAGAGGATGTGGATGATGATGACTGCGCTTGCATAAACGAGTTTGGCCTTAAGTGTGTGTGCGTGTGTGTGTCTGTTTCTTTGGTAGTTTCGAATCAATGCGTGAGCCGCATTTTCAATGGGCTCGTCCATCCGCATCCTCCACACTCACCTTGTGCTCATCGAGCCTCGCATTTAAGTTATTTATGCAGACTCGCACATACAAAGCATGCAAAGATTCCAGCAGCAGCAGGAGCAGGAGCAGCAGCTCGACTGGGCGCCCAGCCAGCGGCAGAGATGGGAGCTGGTAGAGTCGTCTAGAGCATCTGCCCCCGGGCTGCATACAATTAGCTGCAACTGTAATTAAAGCAATTGTACCATAAATCTTTTGCCAATTTAATGGCAAATGCTCCGCTCACACCAGATGGGCTGCGGCCCACCCGAGGCGTATGTGCCAAGTAATTGTTGCCAAAAAAGAGACAAAAAAAAAAAATTAAATAAAATAAAACCAAATTAATATAAATTTAATAGTTGGCTGGCATTTATGGCCCACACAGGAAGGAGCAGGAAAAGCGAAAGACTCGGATGGTTAAGAAAAGTCATTAAATGCAACCACAAACGACCCGAAAAAATGATGCGTCGTGCTATACCCTGCATTCCATGCCAGGGCTGCCAACCGGCTTCCAACTAGTTGATCTAACAAAAATCTAAAATCATTTTTTTAATTGGAAGATATTGTTAAACAATTTGTGCGTTGTTCAACACTGCGCATACTTAAAACAAGAATTAACTAATATCGATCCAAAAAAAATTTGACAACAATTTTATGTAAATTCTAACAAAGACCTTTGAAAATATCAGTGAAGCCTTTAAAACAGTTTTCCTCAATTTTCCCAATTTAATTTATATTAAATAAGGTTGCTCTATTCAAAATTTTTTGAAATGTGAAAACCAATGCTCGAATCAATAGCTGGACTCATAGGTTAGGAAGAAAGGGTCCATGAAGCGAACCTTAAGCTAAGGCATTCGGTTTGAACCATAAACCAATTCTACGATTGGGATATATATATATTATTATTAATAATAAATTGTTTTCAAAACCCGTCTAGTCTATCGCACATCTCTTCGCCTCGTTGCTAAATTGAGATAAAATATCTTAAAATAAGATTAAGTAATTATAATTAAAATTCTTCTAGTAGGAATATCTTAATGCTAATTCAATTTCAATTTTCGATTAAAACAAATTGAATAGACTCAAAGATTTCTAAATTTATTGAAAAAAAGAAATTGTATTCTTAAGTTAAGATAAATAACTATCATAAATATTGCACTTCTTATAAGCAATAATTGAATTATTGTAGAATAATATTTTGACCAAGTGAAGTACTCTATAAATTGTTAGCTATATTTTTGATTTCAATATAAAAAAACTTCTACAAACTTATTAATATATACTAACAATATTTAAACATATTATTTACACAAGCATTTAAATGTCCAACTGCCAGCGAATATGCCCCATGCAGTTGGCAAAAAATAATTAAAAAATAAAAAATGAAATCCATTTAGTCGGCACTCATGAAGCGGCCACACTTGGCCGCCATTCAAAAGCAATTGAAATTCCAAATTAATAACCGCAGCCAGCCGACTGAAGCTGGCGAGGCAGCAGGCCAAGCGGCAAGCGCTGGCACGGAGTGGGCCTGGAGAAAACAATCAGCAGGCACATACATAAGGACAGCAGCATATGTCTAGAGTGTCTATTATAGACTGTTTGATACTGTGCCAACATCGGGGCCAGCTTCGAGTGATAGAAATGTCGGGAGCGAAGCCCAAGACAAGCGGCAAGTCCAAGTCCAAGCTGAAGCGTACTTCGCCACGTTTGTATGACCCAAGTGACTTGCCTTCGTTTATGCAGCCGCAGAAGCTGCCATGGAATGTGACGGACGAGCAGCGACATCGTCGTCCCAAGTCGGAGATTGTGCGGGAGCTGCTACGATTGCGCTCCCTGCCAGTGCGCTCCGACGATGACGAGGAGGAGCCGGATCCTGCAGCAGCAGCAGCGGCAGCAGCACAGCCCATACGCACGCTGGAACAGCTGGATGCACTGCGTCTGACGCGCCATCGCATCGAGCAGCTGCTGCACAGCACCACATTCGAGCAGGCGGTGCGCAGCTGCTTTGTGCGGCTGAACATCAACGCGATCAATGTGCTGCCCGAGTATCGCATTGCCGAGATAATGGACATCACGGAACTGCCGGAGGGCTACTATGTGGGCAAAACGCCCACCAATATTGCGCTCCAGCTGCGCTACGAGGATCTCGTGATGAAGCACGAGCTCAACGACATCTCCAACATGGCGTTCACGCGCGAGGAGTTCGACTTCTGGCACGATAACTGCATCTGCCAGGGCATCGAATGGCCCACCACGGAGCTAATCTCAAGCAAGAAGATCGAAATCTACAATGCGCTCAACAGCGAGGGCAAAATCACATCCTTGCTGAAGCAGAACGGGTTGCTGCCACTCTCGATGCCGATGCGTCCAGTGCCCAAGGGCGGGCTCCTAGAGCGTGTGGGCGGTGTCTATCCATGGAAGTTGCAGCGTCCGCCGCCGCCGCCGCCACCGCCACCGCCACCGCCCCTACCAGCACCACCAAATCCTGAACTGGATGCTGCAGCTAGCAGCGAAGGATCTGGCGAACCGACAAAGCCAGAGCCCGGCTCGGAGGAGGAGCTGGAGGCACCGCGCTCAGAGCCAATGATACCCAGCGCTTAGCCTCTTGGGCGAATCGATGGAAGTTCCTGTTTGCGCCGCTAAATTCGGAAATAAGTATATTGTTTTAGTTTTGGTTCAACAAATTTATTAAGTTGCAGCTGTAGAATACAAAAATAAAAGTCTCACAAATCAGATCAATCGAAAGTCTGATCAAACAAGTGTGGAAGAGGGAATAAATATAAAATGCCATGCAAAATCATTTTAGAATTCAAATGATCCACATACAATTTAAGTTGATATGTATATTAAGCTATACCGATTGATTGATTGACCGACTGGTGGATGCCCAATCTTCCACATCAACTCTTAATAAAGCTGAATTTTTTACACGCAAATACGCGGGGTATTGAATATTTCCACTCTTATCTGTGAAAAATTGGGGGAAAACGTTTTCTGAATCTTTTTTAAAACTAAGTAAAATTTTCACCTACTTTCGAGAGTGCATGCCAGGGGCAAAAAATGGACGGGCAACTGTCAAATATTTATAAAAATGATCAAATAAAATGTTATTCGAAACGTCATCCACTGACTGCGGCAAATCCACTTCGGTGAATACAAATGACGGCCCAAGGTGAATTTGAAAAGGAAATAACTTCGCATAAAGCCCGGCAGTGATGTTGAGTATTTTCCTACTTAGTTTTGTAAACGCACAGCATTTTGAAGCAATCATAGAAGTCGGCGAACAGGCACACACTTTTCGTGCACGTACGCAGTTCTGTTTAATTTCTCAGTTCAGTTCGATCGTAGCTCTAACAAGCAACGAGTTTAAAAATTTATATATATTTTTTTTACTTTTACCAAAAATAAAAGTCGAACTTTTGGAAAACCCCAGAGATAATTCTGGTACATTTATACAATAATATACTTATATATATATATATATATATATATATACATATGTAGATATATATATATATATTGGATTTCAAAGTTTGTCTTTGGTAAGTGCCTCAAGCAGTTTCGACTTTAGGCGTATCTGGCTAACATATGATTTCTAAATATCTTTTTTCATTCTCAGTTTAATTTGGTTAAAGAGAAGTTGCCAATCGATATGACGGATGAGGAGAATCGCACGCAAGTGGTACGCCTGTTGGGCGATATGATGAACGCCCACTCGGACGTGGTGCGGCAATCCACCGAGGAGCTGACTAGCCTCTACACGGATCCAGACAGCACGGTTCAGGTGTGCATGGTGCTCGGCAATGTTGGCAAGCTGCCGGCAATGCGCAAATGTGCCGGGCACATACTCAAGAATCGGCTGGCCCAGCCGGACGTCTGGAAGAACCTGCTGCCCAACCAGCAGAAGGAGGCCCAGGATGTGCTACTCTGCGCTTTCAAAAGTATGACCATGAACGATGATGAAAACCTGCAGCTGACGGTTGTGCGTAATGTTGGACTCGTAATGGGCCTGCTGCTGGATGCTGAGAATGCTGAGGCTGCGGCCTGGAACGATCTCATCATCGATCATGTGGAGGAGCTGTGCGTATCCAATGAAAAACTTAGCCAGCTGCTGGGCGCCATTTGCTTCAAGTTGCTCGTGAAGACATCGCCGAATATGTTCGAGAAATATTTGGTTCGTGCCAAGAACATATTCGTCCGCACTCTGGAACTGGCCAAAGAGCAGGGCGAGTTGGCCACACCGGCCACGGAACACTTGCTGTCTGGCTGGCACATGGCCATACCGCTGTTCCGCAGGCGTTCCAATGACCACGAAGAGCTGGCCGCCACATTGCCTCTGATCATGCAGATGACGCATGCCTTTGCCTATCAGCCGAATCCGAAACGCAGCTGTCGAGGATTCGATGTGCTCGAAAAGCTGAACAAGCACTTGCCGGAGCTGATGTGGCCGCATCTCAAGCTGGTGCTCGATGAGCTCTTTCTGCTGGCGAGCGACACAAATCTGAGTGATGAAATCCGTGTCCAGGCCATAATGGCCTTGAGGAACTGTGTGCGCAGCAAGCGGCGTCACATTATTCGCCTGAAAATGATGGACAAGCTGCTGATGACCCTCTATCGCCTTATGGCCATCAAGCCGGCTCTGGATGCGGATGGCGAGGAGCTGTACCTGGGCGACACGGAGGAGTCGCAGTCGCCGCTATCCGAGGCCGCCCAAACGGTGCTCTATATTGCCGCCGAATCGGACACTAATCGCGTTGCGGTGCGTGTCCTGCGCCTGATGCAGCCGCAGCTAGAGCAACAGCGGTCGGCGGTGCACCGTGTGGCCGCCCAGGTGTTTCTAGCTCTGATGGCCAAGGGATTTACAGACCTGCTGGCCGATGCCCCATTACGCAGCTTTATTTCTGCCGTCGAGACGGGCATTCATGATGTGGAGCCAATGGTGCGCAGGTCCGCGCATTTCGCGCTCGCCATTATGGCCGAGAATCTGCAGCCGGAGATTACCGTAATGGCGCCCCAAGTGCTGCCCCTGTTTTGTGAATTCTTTGATCAGATGACGCCAGAGCAGCGGTTGGCCGACCGCGAGACGGAGGCACAATCACGCATGTTCTGCACACTGGAAATTTATTGTGAGAGCCTTAAGCGGGAGGCGCTGCAGCCGCATCTGGTCGACCTAATGAAGCGGCTAATGGATGCTATGCAGCCGGAAAACAATTCCATTTCGCTGCGCCAACTGGCGTTGAGTGCCGTCGCCTCTTTGGCCAAAATATCAAAGGATTTATTTAGGCCGCACTTTGATGAGGTGCTGGCCATAACGTTGCCGCTGGTTAGGGAGACGCCCCCGGAGGAACGAATGCTGCTACGAACTCAAGCTATACAGGTTAGATTATTAATTAGCGCCCTTCAATGCGATTTTCTGATCATCCTTCCACTTACATCGCCCCTCTATGCGAATCTCATAGCCTCAATTAAGGCTCAGAAGGTTCTCTTACTCAGATGTTCACTCTCTTACAATTAAAAACCTTATTGCAGGTGGTCAACATGCTGAGCAACGTTGATTCTGAGAAATTCGCTGTGCATGCTCCGATGCTGATGGACAGCTATTTGGAGATGATGCAGCACATGACTATTGCGCAGGTCTTCACGTTCGAGATGCTCGCGATGTTGTCCAACTATGTGCCGGAACAGATTAAACTGAATTTCGGATTTCTTATAATTGGAATTTTGAGTGCAATCAAGGACGGCAAGGATAGCGATGACGACAAGGACGAAGACGGACTCGATACCGAGACTGATGCCGATGCCGATGCCGATGCAAGCGTCTGTGCCGAAGAGGACAGCATTGGCGACGGACACGGCGATCAGACGGAAGAGGGCAACACTCGAAGCATCACCAGCACCGACAGCTTAACCAATACGGCCGCACCCGATGAGGCGCTATTGTGCCTCAAGACATTGGCCGTCAACATGCCGGATACGGTAATGCCCTATATATCGGAGGCGACACGCTGTGTCTCCCCGTACACGGATTCGCAGAACGAGCTGGGCAAACGGGCTGCATTCGAGGTGCTGACAGAATTTGCCATTCTTCTCTACCGCAAGGACGACAAGGATGAGGCCAAGCGCCAGTTGAACGAACTAATGCCGGATTTGGTTGACTTTGTGGAAACGGCCAAGGAGACGGCCAATGTTGTTGGTGCCATGAACTGCATCACAAAGTTCCTCAAACTGTTTGGGTCCGAGGCTCTGGAAGGTGAGGGATTTGCCGATCTGATCATAAATATTGTGCGCAAGACCCTGCGCCGCAAGCTCAACTGTCAGTTCGATATTGGCCAGGACACGAAAATGTCCATACTGCAACAGTGGAGCCAGGCCATGCATTCCGAGATCGAGGTAATGGAGGCCGCCGGCGAGATGCTGCCCGTCTTTGGCCAATCGATGCGTCGGCGACAATTTGCCGGCCATTTTCACAGCATTAGCAATCGCTTCCTGAAGAGCCTGCGCCAGTGCAAGCCCACTGGCCAGATCACGCCGCATCTGTACTTTCTCTACAATCTCGTCTATCGCTGCATGGAGCCGCTGGGCGTCATCGCCGAGCAGTACTACGATGTGCTCTGCTATAGCGTCGTCGACTGCATGATGGACGACAAGCCGCATGTGCTTCAGTTTGCCATCAACTTGATCAACTGGATGCTCACGCATGCCCATGACAAAGAGAACCTGGATACCATCATCATGGCCACCTCACAGGTGTTTATCGATGCCCTCAATGCCAACTCGCCACTGGCCAACGAGAAGCGGGAGCAGGTTGCCGCAATTCTGGCGCGCATGATCATGAACTGCGCGTCCCTGTCCACCGAAGAGATTCTGACTTTAATCTACGGCAATCTTCCGTTTTGCCACAACTTCGATGCCTATGTCCAAGTGGTGCCTGCTCTGCGCCAACTCTACCAGCAGAAACCAGCTGTGCTGGAACCACATCTCAGCCAGACTCTGCAAGTGCTGCTCGAATCGCTCGGGAAGCATCAGCTGCCCAATGAGGTCACGCGTCAGACTGCCATCGAGCTGCTGGGTCTCATCAAGGTCGACCAGAAGTCACTTTACGATGATGTCAGCCAACAGTTTCCTGGGGCTAGTGCTTTGATCGTTTAAAAAAAAAGTATTGTGTATTTTCTAACACTGGAAAATACTAAAGAGTATAAAAAATACGAAAATGCAGTATATCTGTAGGTATTCCATTGAGAGCTGTGAAAAGAACCTGAAAAAAAAGGAATTGTAATTCAGGACGGGGTAACGGAAATTAAATAGGTTAGGCCAATTAATTACAACACGGGATCTCAATCAGTACGAACGTAGAAACACTCTACAAAATTCTGGTGCACTTACTATCGGTAAATAAAATCAAAATTTCAGTACCTGAGCAAGTTTTACTGCTGTTTGTCGTTATGAATAATCTGATTTTTAAGCATTGATAAAAAACGGTATTTCAGGTTTAATATTATATTCATTTCCTGGAAATGGGGCGAGTTATCGATTTGAAAGAACCCTAATCTGGCATGGGAACTCCGTTTTTTTGAGCGTATTTTGTGGGTAGACTGTCAAATACTCTTTTATATTTCACTTTCAAGATGCCTTCGCTCGTGTCTTCCAATATTTGGATGTCATTAAGGCCTCGAAACTTTCAGAAAGATCTGTTAATAAAAACCAGAGTTAATCAAGAGTGCGCTTCCCATAGTGTGGGGTTAGGTGCGCAGCAAGTGGCGGGTGGTTTTTTTATGATGTATAAAATGAAAACAGCTAGAAAGATTAAAACGGCAGCTCAGCGTGGATTTAGGGTGTCTACTAGTCGACTCGAGCACTCTTACTTTCCTCCTATTGAGTGTTTTTACAAGTATTTTAGCTGAAGGGATTTAGAACGAGATCAACCTTTTATACGCGCTGTCAATGCTCTAGCTCTGCAGAATATATTATATAGTTAGATGTATTTACTCGGCAATCGATCAAAGTTAAACGTCATGAAGCTATTTAAGTGGACTGCTGTTCATTTTTCTAAGCTGTCCGGTGGATAATAGCCAAATAAAACAATGCAATAAAGCGATGTTTGGGGGTGATTGATTGGGTCACAGGCCGAAATGGGCGAATGCGAAAAACATAGCGACAAATCGAATTCTCAAGCGAAGCGCTGGCGGAGGAGGAGGCGCAGACGGAGGGGAAGGCGGAGGGTTGACCCACAAGAGGGTAAATAAATATGTAAACTGTTTCAATGCAATTAGTGACAAACTGGGTTAGAAAGAGAGCCAGCAAGAATCCTGCAACAGTTGCCCAGCACAAGGAATGTAAAAAATGTCCAGCACTTCATTCCACAAGGGCCTCGGTGCTGCGGTCGGTCGGTCGGTGGGGGAGGAGGGGGTGGGGCGGTCAGGTCAGGTACTTTTGCTTGCCACATTTTGGACGGCCAATGTGATTGAAGGCCAATGTGATTGAAATTTTGGCCAAGTTACAGTGAATTGAATTGGCAGCAAATTGTCGCCAATAAGGCAGGCAAATTAAATAAAATGCAATTAGCCAACTAAATGGGCGAGGGGCGTGGCACGTGATGACAATCACACGGCTGATGAGCAATTAGAAAATACACGGTTGCGTTCTAACAGAGCGCAGAGCGGCGCAACCTTGAAGCCAGTCCCTTTTCTTGTTTGCTTCTGTTTTGGCCGCGAACAGACAGACTGGCCAATTAATTAATATTTAATTTATAGCCTGAACAGTTTGGCCAACAATTTCATTATGCTCTTGCCGACTTGTTTTCCTTTTGGGTTTCCTTTCTACGCCCTTGTCGGGGTATTATTAGTTTATCACGAAGTGTGCAACGCTTTCAACAAGGCAACTCACATAAAGTATATACATATGTTCTTGATCAGTATCAATAGTTGAGTCTATATAGCTCTATTTGTCTGTCCGTTGTTCTGTCTGTTTGTTCTCATGCCAACTAGCCTCTATATCTTATATCGTTCAAAATTGAAAAACAAAACTTGTTCTGTTCTACAAGATATGTTGCCCAAACTAGGCTCATGGATATATCTTATATATCTCGTACACATCGGAGTACTATATCATAGAGAATCGATCAATAAATGAGTTTTTGTCCTCGGCTCTTCAATATATCTTTTATATATCTATATAGGTATATATCTCATATCATATCATATCACATCGTTCTACTATATCATTTGGCTGCTATAGGAACAATCGAACAATTTTTGCCACATGTCTATAAGAGTATTTAAGCTTCGGCCTGCTGCAGATGGTCATTTTCTGCTGTTGTTTTTGGTTGTTTTTCCGCGCATTTTTTGGTTGGCCAGTTGGCCAGGCTAACAAAAATTTTGTTTCTACATACTTTGCAGAGGTTTTTCCTCTAGTTTTTTTCTTTTGTGTTTCTTGCACCATGTACTGTTATTCCGCGCTCGTCTAATTAACTTGAAATGAGTTTTTCGTTTTCCCGACTTTCATCTGCTTTTTCCCCCTTTCCATTAAGCTCTAACTTTTTTGTTGCAGCAGTGCGTGTGTGTGAGCGCTTGTATGTGTGCGTGTGTGTGTGTGTGTGTCCGACAAATGTCTTTTTTATGCTGCTGTTGTTTTTGCCTAGGCAAAATGTCACTTAATAAATTTGACGACTGTTTTATGTTGTCGCTTTGGCCCTTAAAATGAAAAAAAAAGATATATACATATATATATATAAAACACAGCAAAAACAAACCTTACAAAAAATGGAAAACCAGAAAGCAACACGCCCATTACAACACGTAGTGGCCATAAATATAAAAGGCTGTCACGCCCACAAAAGTGGGGGGGGGGGGCGTGGGCGGGGGAACGCTCATATGCAGAGGGCAATGTAGAGCCAACCTTGACCTGCGGCAGGTTAGGGTTAGGCATATATATATATGTGTGTGTAGGTGTGTGTAGGTGTTTGTGTGTATCTATGTGTGCGCTAACGGCACACGCACAATCAAGATCAAATGTGTGTGGGCAGGCTCAGGTTGCGTTTGGTAACGTCTTCTGATTTGCCATATTAATTGCGCATCAGCTCATGAGGAGCAGCGACCGCAGCAGGAGGAGACAGAAGAGGGGAGAAACAGCAGGAGATGTGCTTCTGCGCTTGGTCTACCGTACTCTGCGATCTGCAGGTGAGGTATAACAGCCTTGTCCGAACTGCTAGAAAAAGTGGGCGTGGCCGAAACTATTGTGGCTCCCATCTGAAAATTAATTTTTCTGTAAGTCTATTATATTATAAGCAGGAATAAACATAGATAAAGTGGACTTCAACTCGGCTCGCCTTGCTGTTTTACGTTGCTGGGCGCTTATAATTCTCAACGAGTTATGGCGAAAAGCTGGCAAGGTGTTTGTCAGCCCTGAGTTGAAAGCAAAATCTGCTGTTGATAACATTCTGAGGTTCTTGAGCCAGCCTGGCTTAATATAACTTAAAATAAGCCAAAATGTTTTATAAATGATGATTCTTAATGCTGCGCGCTGCTCAGCGATTCAGAAAAATCATCTGTGCCTCACTTCAGGCTCCGCGTCTTTGTGCCGTTGACATTTTCTACATTTTAATTTCTGTTATATTACAATTTTCTGTGCTCTTATTTTATTTTTTGCCTGTTTTCGGTTTGCTGCTTTTATTGGTCCATGCGGCGTATGGGTTACATGACACAAATACGAGTAAGTTCAAGTGAAAGTCACTTCCATTGCGGGCAGAGGCAGCCGCAGTAGCTCGTCGGAGCTGGTCGGAGCAGCGGGCGGAGCAGCGGGCGAGCGGCACATGTTACCAGCTTCAGTGCTGCTGCGACGGCTCAACTCGACTTTTGACATTTACAAGTGCCTGGCGGGCATCCATGGCCGGGTCCGTGGTCCGGGCGAAATACTGACGTCTGACGTTTGGCTGTTGATGTTGCGACTTTTGGTCGGATTAAATGCGCTGCTACACCTGGTGACATATCTTCGAAAACAAGCGTGCAGATGGGTGATGGCAATCAACGAACATCAAAATTCAACGTTCAACTTTACCAAACGCCAACAACGAAAACAACAACAGCAGCAGCAGCAGCAGCAGCAGCAGCAGCAGCAGCAGCAGGAGCTAGGGCATGGACATCGTATGGCAGCATCAGCATCAGTCAAAACTTTGCCAGCAACTGAATTATGTCATTTGGTGACGGGGCGCGCACAGATGCAGATGCGGTTAGCTGAGTAGCTGGGTTGGTTGGGCAGCAGTCGATAGTAATCGTTGGCTCGGTTGGCACAGCAATGGATCCGGATTTATAGGTAAATGGCGCCACATGCATACCAACATGCCTGGTTAAGACACGGCACAGTGAGGCAACATCCGCAAAAAATATTGATTTATTGTCGATAATAACGATAACACAAAAGTAATCAATGCTGATGACAAGCCGGTTATCGATATCGATATCTTACTCAATATTTTAATTAGCGGGGCAACAAAATTGTCAGTAGTTCGGTATTGCGGTTCGAACCAGCTTTGAACTAGGTGTTGGTTCAAACGTTTGGCATATAGTTTTAGTTTTGGCTTGTTTTATGTTTTGATTTGTTTGATTTTAGGACAACTGCTTAGTTGCAGTTTGAACTATTGCAGGTCAAACCCGCCTTTTGCTTCGTAAAATTGAGTCAATCGAACATAATGGATAAATTTGAATTGTCTTCTAGACAGATCAAAAATATATTTTAATATCATCATTATTTGGCATAACGATTCCCTGGATGGCACAATTGATCCTTTTGGTCCGGAAGAGTATATGTAGACGCTTGATCTGTGATTTTAGTATTGGATATTTATTATCGGAACTGTGTCAATGAATATATAGACCATTACTCTGGTACGGAGCTGTTTGCGGCACTTGATTTCATGAATTGCAATCCCAGTGTGCGACTTAGTCGCATGGCTCAACTCTAGTATCTAGGAAAGCTGGTCAATGAAGCTCCCCGCACGCTCGTGCAGCTTAAAAACGCAGGACAGGGCTTATTCTTTTATATTTGTTGTATGCTGAAAAGCAACTAGAACATATTTAATGAACGGTGTTATTAGTTATGCGCGTTCTTTACAAGGTTTTTGCAGTCAGTCTCAAAGCAGCTGCAACAGCGAATCGTTCGGGTCAAAAGCTCAAGAGTTTGAAGCATACAATTTGATACTGCTACGGAGTATTATAGAGTCGGCAAGTTCCAGCTTGGCTGCAGACTCATGATTAGTCCAGATACAAGCATATTTGCCCCAGCAGCAAGTGGCTGAAGGTAAATGTGGAGGAGGCCTTCCGGATTGCTCGGACTGGTAATCGAAATTAAAGTAGACAGCTTGGAGTATGGCTTAGTTATGCCCCATATTCAGCAGGTTAGTCTGGATTAAGGATCTGCA